CCCAAGGAGTGGTAGGGCCTCTGATAAACCATATCGACTTTCATAACGAGCCATGTGTGTTAATAATTTTTTTTTTTTGATCAACTTTTTCTTTTTGATCAACATGTGTTAATAATTTATTAAAATGTTTAATATATCATATAAATATAAAAAAGTATCTCTACCTTTTTATTTATCGAGATATATAAATATGTACATTATAATAACTGCTATGCGAAAATTTACACATATATATATATAGTTAAAAATAACAAGTTATGGTTTAGCTAAAAAAAAAAAAAAGCAAGTTATGTGTTTGTGTAACATGGTACAATATTTATAGTAGCATATGAACAAGAAAACATACTAACTTTTTACTTAATGAGGTAATTAAACTATAAATCCTATTTTTGTTAGTCAGTTTTCTATTTATTTAGTGTGCTACAGATGATTATAGCGTGTTATATTTACATGTAACATGACAATGTGATATTGTTACATGTAACACGACAATGTTAGATATAGCATAATATGTAGCGTGTTGTTTATTTTTTTTTTAATTTTATCTCTTGTGGTTTTGCGTTATTAAACTTTGTTAGTGTTGTTCTACATAGATTAATTTGAGTTTCTGTTGCTTACCCCACAAAATAATGAAGAACAAAAAGGTAAGAGGAAGAACAAATGATAAAAAGAGAAGCAGAGACATAAAAAGGAGAAAGACGAGAGACAAAGAGAAGACAAAATAAAATGTATTAAATGAAGCAATCAATTCTGTATTTAACTTTTTTTTTTTTTTTGTCGGCAAACTAATTCATTAAAATTTAAAACGTTTACAAAACTACAACTGAAATATTCAAGACAACCAAGATATTACATAATTGGAGTTTGATAGTCTAGCTGATTTTGTTAAAGCATCTACATTTTGGATAGCTTCTCTTGGGATCCAAGCAAAATGGTAATCAAAATGAGAAGGTTGCATTCTCCTTATATCATCACAGAACATGAAGACTTCAGCATGACCTCCTGGTTCCCCTTTGAGCCTTTTCATGAGTGTGTCAAATAAAGACTTTGAATCTCCATAAAACCAAACCTTCTTGTAGRCGTGTCTTCTGATTTGTTGAACGGCTTCCCTCAGTGCAGATGRCTCTGCAATAAGTGGGTTTGGTACAGGATCAATTGAAGAAATACCTCTCATAACATATTTTCCATTATCATCCATTAGAAGCCATGCTATTCCACCTCGTTCTGAACTAGAACACCATGAA